CCGGCGCAGCACTGCGCTGGCTCCACCCTGACGGGACAGACAGGTGGACGCCACGGGCCTGGCCTGGGAGGGGTCCAGCAGATAAGGATTGGGGCTCCGCTGAGCCCCAGGTGCCCTAGACGGTGAAGCCCGCCCCCGAACACAGGCCAGGCAGACAGGCCGCGGACACAAACACAATTAGGAAGGGTGAGGCCAACTGATGTGCCAGATAGGGGCGCTATGGAGGTGACGTGGGAGCCTGGGGGGCAGTGGAGGGCCTGCTGGGGGTGGGGCTGGGGGGCGGCCGCTCTCAGCTGCTCAAGGGCCTCCTGACCCCGGAGGCTGGTGTTGCCCGCACTTTACAGCTGAGCACCCCCAAGTCTCAGGAGAGGGCAGAGGTTCACGCCACCCACGGGGCACATACCCCTTAAAGCAAAAGCAGCTGCCACCCCTGCGTCGGCGGGTCCTCCCCCTCCATTGCTGGGGCGCCAGGATGGTTGTGCTCCGGGTCCAGCTGGCTGAGCATGAAGGAACCCGGGGCCCTTTGGACCCTGTGTGAGACCTGCCCGGCTGCTGTGACCCCCCGGGGACCCCCAGAACATCCCACATGCCCAGCAGCCCCCAGCACTGCACAGTTGGGGGGGGCACCCTGACACTGCCCCAGGCTGTGAGCTTGCATCTGAAACCTGGAAAAGATGTGCCCCAGGGCTTGCACCCAGGCATGGGCTAGAGACTGGGGGCCTTGCCTCGGCTATGTGGGCTCAGGGACGCCAGTTGGGGTGGGCCAGGCGTGGCCACTGGACCAGCCCTCTCCCCAGCTCCCGCGGAAAGGCTCTCCCTCCTGAGGGTGGTCAGTGTGGAAGGGGGTGCCCCCCAACTCGCAGAGCTCTGGGAACGGGGGGCCTTCAGAGCCACCTGCCCAAGTGGCACCTTAGGGCTCAGGGCCTAGAGGGCCCCCACTGCCTTCCGCCCCCTCCCCAGCACCTCTGCTTTGTGCATTCTGTGAACCCCTGCGAGCTCACAGCAGAGTCACTTCTCTGGCTCCTTAGGAAACAAAAGTTGACCTTGGGGTCAAGCCAGCCGTGTGTTCTTATCCCAAAAGCGCTGCCCAGGGCCACCATGTCGGTGACAGCCCTGTCCCCAGGCTGGCACAGTGAGTGGGCCTTGGGGACACAACTCAGGCTCAAATGCCAGCTCTGCCACTTGCTGGGATCCAAAGAGTGACCCTGGCTTCACAGAAGCAGGCCCTGGGGGTGCCCCTTGAATGGCCCCCTTGGCTGAGTCCCTAGGGTGGCTGGTCTTGGGGTCTGTTGCTGGGAGACAGCACCCCACCCAACTCCCAGAACAAAGCAGGCTGGACCCACCCTTCCCTGCAGCAGCCCCAGACTCGGAGGCGCCCCTGGGCCAGAGGGGTGGTGGCCTAGGGGCTGGCTTCCTGTGGCCCACAGGGACTGATAATTACAAAATCAGGTGGCGTGGCAGCCGCTGCGGAGTGAAGCGTGGGAGCCCAGTGGGCCGCACTGGAAGCAGCCCCGGTGATGAAATCACCATCTGTCCACCCATCTGGAGTTCGGGATTTTTTAAAGCCCACGCCCCTGGCGTGCTGGGGCGGTGGGGCGGCGGGGACAGGACGGCTGAGTACTTGGCGGGGGCTGGGGGGGCCTGGGTCCATCACCGCCCCCCCCCGTCAGCCCCTCCCACAAAGCTACCCCATAAATGATCATTTACACAAAACCTGGTGCCTGGTCCCCACCAGGGTGCCACCCTCCACCCTCACCCTCCCGGTGGCAGCTCCCAGCGGACTTCGCTCCAGGTGCCCAGCGCACCTCAGCAGGCATTTGCTCCAAAGTGCAGACAGCGGCTCAGGAAGGCAGGGGTCCTTCCTGACCTCGCCGGGGTCCCGGCCGCAGAAAGCGAGGCCGTGTGACCCAGCCTCATGTTCCCTGGCCGGGCGCCAGGCTAGGCGTGTGTGTGGCCGGGCAGGGACCCACCTTGGCACTGGAGTCCTCTGGGAGGTGCTCCGAGCTGGAGGCAGGGCCCAGAGCCTCCTCCTCGGCCCCGGCCCAGCCCTGATGAGTGCTGGGAGCCACGAACAAAGCCAGGCCCAGGCGTCTCTGCAGGGGCGGGGGTCTGGGCCAACCGTCCGGGGTGGGGGGTGCTCTGGGGGCCAGGAAACACAGGTTCCCCAGCTCCCTTGCCTTCGCCCTCTCAGTGGGGTGCCCCTTATCTTTCCGTGAGGTCTGGCTGAACCCAGTTTCCTTTTCTCAACAGCCAAGGCCCTTGCAGAAATCTGCACCTGCCCTGACCTTGGCACCTTGGCACCACGACCTGCCGTCCCAGCCAGGCACTGCCCCAGGCCTGGAAGCCAGCGGGCGCTGGGCTGGCGCCACCCACCGCTGCCCAGCCTCAAGGTATTAATCTGTTAAGGGGAGGTAATAATCCCCTCCTTCTGGAAGGATCCTTGTGAAGATAACAGATCTGAAGTCGCTTTGAAATGCTAAGAAGCACCCTAAGAATGCAAGGTGTTCCTTACCATGACGGGCTCCCTCCAGGGCTGGGTGAGAGCTGGTGCCAGCACCCCAATATTAGAGACTTGGGGTGGGGAGAGGTTGTGGAGGAGCAGGTGCCCCTGCACCAAGGGGGGCCCCCGGGGAGCAGCGACTGGGGAGTGTGACTGAGGGCGGTGAGGAGCCAGGGGCTTCCTGCTCACACCCACCGGCCTCTGAGCACCATGGCGAGGAGGGCGCAGCCTTGCCAACCTGGGCCCAGAGGGTGGAGCGGCCAGGCTGGGCACAGGTTCAGACTTGAGGGGCAGCCTGGCCTTGAACCTCTACGGCGAGGCAGGCCGCCGGCCCCTTCACACATGAGCACACAAGTTTGGGAGAAGGATGGGACCAAAGCTGAGACAGTGTCCCCCTTCACGTGCGTCTGCCCCCCAAAGGCACTTCTCCTCAGAGCCACGTTCCAAAAGGGGCAGGCACAATGAGGCATTCGGAGGAGAGGCCACGCCACATGACCTCCACTCGCCCTTGGCACTGCTGGTCTCCGCGCCTAATCTGAAAATGGAACTTGATGGAAGTGTGACCAGTAGGAGGCCGCAGTGGGAGGACGGCCTGCCATTCAGGCCTCCCCGGGGCCCCTGCACCCCTCGGAGGGGATAAGGTGCAGGCCCCATAGGCCTCGCTCCAGGTGGGTTGGGGGAGCTCAGCCAGCCGAACCCAGGCAGGTGCTGCCGGGCCAGGTGAGCATGGAGTGGCGGGAGCCGTGCACTCGGGAGAACTCCGCAGGGGGGTGGCTGGGGACCTGGCCTGGTCACACAGGGCCCGGGCCAGGGTGCACCAGCCGGCCCTTGACTGCTAAGCCCTGGAGTCGGTGGTCGCGAGCGGGCAGGGGGAGGAAGGCCCGGGACCGCGTGCCCACGAGTCCCTCCAGGTGGGAAGTGGGACCCTGCTCTGGTCTCTGGCGCCCCCCTGTGGCCCTGCAGGGCAGGAACCTCGTGTGGGTCTCACCCCTGCCCCGCCCACTCGAGGAGGACCCAGAAGGCCTCCGGAGAGGGCTGATCACACCTTTGCCAACCTGTGCCCACCCTCCCTGGAGACACAAACAATGGCCAGATGACCGGACTCAGATTTGAATGCAGGCTCCCCTTTCCGCGCCAGACCACTTGGGTAGCACAGCGGGACTCTGTCCCATTTTGCAATGCTGGTCCTGGGAAGCCACCGGGCAGGTCTCTGAGATCACACCTGGGTGCTGCCAGTTCAATGCCACAGCCGTTACCAGCACCTCCCCCCACGCCGGGACTCGTTGAGGTCCCCCTCGGGGGAAGAAGGCAAACCCCGATCTTCTAGTGGGAGAATGCGGGGTCCGAGACCACTGAAGTGCCCGCCTTCCGCTCTTCCGTCCGCTCCAGCCCGGCAGCTGCGCAGAAATGAGAAACACCGCTGGGCAGAGCCACCCCCCCAGGGCCGTCCACCCGCGGGCCTCTCCTGCCCCGCGCGTTCCAGGCGGGGCTGCTGGAACAGCCTGAGTGGGGTTACAGCCCAGCCCACGGCCTCATTCTTGGCCCCGGGCCCCCTTAGTCCTCCAAGCCTCAGTGTGTCGAGCTGCCAAATGGGCGTAACCGCCTCTGACTCACCCACCCATCTCCCCAGTCTCTGTAACGAAACGCATACAATGAAATCGGAAACTAGCCAGTTTTGGGGAGCGGGGTGCCAAGCCCCGCCGACGTCCCGGGGAGAGAGCGGACTACAACTCCCATCCGGCCGCGGGGCAGAGGGCGTCCCCAGCCCCTCGCCCCGACCTGCGGGAGAGGCGGCCGCCGCCCCAGGGGCCCGGGCACCCCTCACCTAGGTCAGGGTCAGGCGAGGGCCGGGCAGGGCCGGGTGTGGGGACGCGCGGGGATCAGAGGGACTTCCCAGCTTCGCCCCCCTCCTCCTCGGATCGCCCCTCGCCCCGCCCCACCTGGGTGTTGCTCTTTGGGGCCCGCCCCCCCACTTCCTGGCCGGAGGGGCCCCGCCCCCAAGCGCCTCCGCCCTCCCACCTTCACCTCTGTGCGTCTCCCATTGGCCGGCGCGCACCTGCCCGTCCGTTGGGGGCGGGGCGAAGGGCGGGGCGCGGCGCCCAGGTGAGGGCGCGCTCGGCGGCCGAGGAAGGTGACAGCGGGGAGGGCGTGAGGGTGGGGGGGAGACGCACGGGCGGACCGACGGGCGGACCGACGGACGGGCATGCGGGCCGCCTGGCTCTAGCCCAGGCGTGGGGCTCCGGCCGCAGCCATGGAGCAGCGGCTGCGGGAGCTGGAGCGGCTGGCGCAGGGCGAGGCCGGCGGCGGCCCGGGGCTCGACGGCCTCCTGGACCTGCTGCTGGGGCTGCACCACGAGCTCAGCAGCGCCCCCCTGCGGCGGGAGCGCAACGTGGCGCAGTTCCTGAACTGGGGTGAGTGACCGGGGCAGGGCAGGGCGGGGCGGGGCGGCCGGAGGGGGTGACAGGGGCCGGGACCCTTTCCCCCTCCCCCACAGGGAAGGGGGAGTTCAAACCCCTCCCACAGGGAACCGCACCCCACACACACGTCCCCCCACCCCCCGCAGACACCTCGCAGTGACCTGATACATGTCACCAGACCCCACGGCCTCAGTCAGGTCACCCCTTACCTTCAGTCAGATTCACACACTCATAGAACCTGGCGTGTGCCCCACAAACTCGGTCCAGTGTGTACACCCCAGGTACGTGTGCACAAATCGGGCTCCACACAAAGTCACCTGCAGGACTTCTCACTGACTCGTCACCCCGCACTCCGGCCTGTCACCCCCAGACACACATGTCTTCTGGTCCCCCACAGAGCCCACGGACACGCTCAGACTCACACAGCTCACGGCACTCGGCCTGCAGACCCTCCAGCCAGGCCCCCGTCACACACGCTCGGGCTTCCACTCACAGCTTGTGGCACCCCAACACACACGCCCCCACCTTCCTGCACACGCAACCCCAGAACCAACCTCAGCCCCTTTGTGCAAGCTGCTGGCCAGGCTGTTCCCCAGAGCCTGGGGCAGGGGGCCCGGCGGGAGGTGGGTCTGCACCCTTCCTGGCTGACTGAGTCACTGGGACAGACTGGCCCGGGGTGACCCTGCACCTGGTATGGGCATCAGGGCCAGCCCCAGGGCTCCCTGGTCACGCCCGGCTGGCCAGGTGGGGAGGGCATAGGGGCCTGGCCTGAGGGCGGGGTGAGGCCGCTGTTTGCCCAGTGGGCAGTCAGCGTTCTTGGCGCACCTGAGCTGCGGCCGTGCAAGGATCGGCCTGGCACGGCCGGGGGAGGGGGGCGCTGTGACATGGGCCACGAGTCAGCCCCCAGCCCTAGCCGTTTCCTCCTGGCCGAGGACAGCCAGGGACCCTCCTCGGCTCCTGCCGGCCCCCGGGTGTGGGTCCGGCCGTGTTGTCATCGCCCCCTGCCATGCCCACGCACGTGTGTGTGTTTGCACACACTCATGCTCCTCCCTGCCCGCCGCCTCTGGCGTCTCTGCCCGGGACCCCAGTGGGGGCCTGTCTGTTGACATCTCCCAAGGTAACTCGGGGCGGTGACTCACTCCTCTCCTGCCCCAACTTGTCCCCTGCTCCTGCCCGGAGCCCCCAGCCCTGAGGCAAGGCCGGGGGACCAGCAGCCTCTTGGGGGCTCGGGGCCTGCTGGCCGGGGCCCCAGGCCATGGTCGCTGCCCGGCTGACGGGGAGCCGCCCCAGCCTGCAAGCCCCTGGCGGCCCGTGGCTGTGCCTCCCCCGCTGCTCACACAGACCTGGGAAAGACACAGTTAATTTCTGTAATGAGGTTTCCGAACCGCCCCGGCTGCGGGGGTTCTGCCTGAGAAACCTGTGGGGCAGCTCTCCGTCCCGCCCACGGGCCCGCCCAGCCGCAGGGAGTTTCCCTCCTGGCAGGGGAAACTGAGGCAGGGCCTGCCGTGCAGCTGCCCCCGACCCCATCCAGCCGCTCTGGCATCTCCCCAGTCTCCAGCCCCAGGTCCCGTGGCCCCTGCAGGCCTGGGAAGGGAGGACACAGACCTCTGGGAGCAGGGCCTGTGAGGCGGGAGGAAGGCTAAGCAGGGCTCCGAGTTGCAGGGCTGGTCAGGCCTGGAGGAAACCTCCCGCCCTGGGGTGCCAGCGTCAGGCGCCAGGGGAAGCTTTCCTGCCTTGTGTTTTGTCTTGTGAGAACCCGGCCAGCTGCCCTCTGCCTCTAGACCGCGCCCTCTCAGGGCCTGCCGCGAGCCCTGCCCTGCCCTGCCCTGCCCTGCCCTGCCGGCCAGGGCTGCCCCGCCTGCCGCCCCAGGTGCCTCTGTGCCCACAGGGTCCCAGGACCGGACCCTCAGCGCCTCAGCTCCCGGGTGGCAGGGAAGCCGCTCAGGACAAGGAATGTTGCCTGTCCAGTTTCCCAAGACAGGTCCCGGCCTGGTCCTAGTAGGGGCCCAGGACTGTATGTGTGGGGTGGGGGAATGGTATCCCCACCCCCTAGGGTGACCTGGCCAGCCAGGGGCAGGCCCCAGGCCAAGAAGGACCCCAAGGTCCATCTGCCTGAGGATGGAGGCGCCTGGTGTCTAGGGACGGGTCCGGGAGCCGTGGATTCAGGGGGTCTTGGGGACTGGGTGGCCAGGACACCCCCTTCCACACTTCCTGCTCCTGGACTGGGCTGTGCCTCCTGGACTCCAGTGCCTTGCTGGAGGCCATCTGTCCGGGCCTGGCCTTGGGGAGCTGCAGCTCCTGACTGTCCCCTGCGAGGGGCGCTGGGCCTCCCTGCAGGCGCCCTGAGTCCTTGCCCTGTCCCCTCAGCCGGCCCTTTTGTGACGAAGGTGAAAGAGCTGCGGCTGCAGAGAGATGACTTTGAGATCCTGAAGGTCATCGGCCGAGGGGCCTTTGGGGAGGTAAGCGCGGCCGGTCGGGCTTGGGAGGAGCTGCGGGGCCAGGCTGACCCCAGCGCGCTGTACCTCAGGTCGCCGTGGTAAGGCAGAAGGACAGCGGGCAGATTTTTGCCATGAAAATGCTGCATAAATGGGAGATGCTGAAGAGAGCAGAGGTCAGTGGGGCCTGCAAAGGGAGGGGTGGCGTGTACCCCCACCGCATCCTCCCAGCGAGCCGCCCCCACTTCCAGATGACCCGGGGCTCAGAGCCGGCGGCCCAGGCTGCTGGGGCCCCCTCGGCCCCTCCATTTGAGCCCCCAGACTTAGGGGTCCCCTCCCACCCCTGCTGAGCTCGCAAGAAGGCCTTCCTGGGTCCTGAGCCCACCCCTTGCTCCCCAAACCTGCGGCAGACGGCCTGTTTCCGGGAGGAGCGGGATGTTCTGGTGAAGGGGGACAGCCGCTGGGTGACCACGCTGCACTACGCCTTCCAGGACGAGGAGTACCTGGTGAGGGTCCTGGAGGGGCTGGCCTGGGGCCCGGGGGGCCGCCAGGGGCGGAGGTGGGGCCAGGGGCCGGCGCCCCTGACTGCCCCGCCCCACCGCCCCCAGTACCTGGTGATGGATTACTATGCTGGCGGCGACCTCCTCACGCTGCTGAGCCGCTTCGAGGACCGCCTCCCGCCCGAGCTGGCCCAGTTCTACCTGGCCGAGATGGTGCTGGCCATCCACTCGCTGCACCAGCTGGGCTACGTCCACAGGTGGGGACCCCGAAGCCCCTGGCGCCCCACCCAGCCCCGGCGGGCCGCTGTAGGGACAGCTGGCGTTGGCTCGCCCCCGCTGCCTTCTGGGTGGCACGGTGGGTTTGGCACCTCTTTGAACCCCCACTCCAAAGCTTGCATGATGGGGCTACCGCTGTCCCCATCTTACGTGGGGGGGGTGCGCAGGGGGAAGCTGAGCCGCATCTGGGCAATCACCTGGCCCCAGGCATCTCAGCAGGCGGGCGCCGGGCGTGGTTTGCACTGGGGACGTGTGGCCCTGTGTCCGCACGGCTGCCCGCTGCCTCCAGGGGTCACCGTGGGCCCCTCTCCCCAGTGTACCCCACGCTCTTCCTTGCGGGGGCCAGGACACCTGGCTGCGGGCCCCCGCCGCGTGCACGCGGCGCTCAGGTGTGCAGGCAGGAACACGCGGAGCCCGTGCGCCCCGGTGCCCGCGTGGGCCACGGACGCCGGCCGGCCACAGGCAGTCGAGCCGCCCTCCTCGCCCCCCCAGGGACGTGAAGCCAGACAACGTCCTGCTGGACAAGAACGGGCACATCCGCCTGGCTGACTTCGGCTCCTGCCTGCGCCTCAACGACAGTGGCATGGTGAGGACCCGCCCGCTGTCCTGCCCGGGGGGTCCCAGGGCAGAGGGACCAGCAGGCGGGGGGCCGGGGTGAGGGGCGGCAGGCCCGAGCCAGGCGTCAGCACCGACACCCACAGGTGGACTCGTCGGTGGCGGTGGGGACGCCGGACTACATCTCCCCCGAGATCCTGCAGGCCATGGAGGAGGGCAAGGGTCACTACGGGCCGCAGTGCGACTGGTGGTCCCTGGGGGTCTGCGCCTACGAGCTGCTCTTCGGGGAGACGCCCTTCTACGCCGAATCCCTGGTGGAGACCTACGGCAAGATCATGAACCACGAGGTCTGGCCGCGGGCCGGGGGCCTGGGAGTCCCGCGCGGGGGAGGGGCCGTGGGTGGGAAGGGGGTCGCAGCCACCCACCCGCACCCCTCCCCCCTCCCCGGGACCCGCAGGACCACCTGCAGTTCCCCCCAGACACGCCGGACGTGCCGGCCAGCGCCCAAGACCTGATCCGCCAGCTGCTGTGCCGCCAGGAGCACCGTCTGGGCCGCGGCGGTCTGGACGACTTCCGGAAGCACCCCTTCTTCGAAGGCGTGGACTGGGGGCGGCTGGCGACCAGCACTGCCCCCTACATCCCTGAGCTTCGCGGGCCCGTGGACACGTCCAACTTTGACGTGGATGAGGACACGCTCACCCATCCAGTGAGTGGGGGGCCCGCCACGCCCTCGCAGGCTGTGGGAACTGCCCCCCAGAAGGTCCTCCCACCGTTGCTGGGCTGGGGGTGAGGTCTCCGCACCCCAGAGGCTCGCGGGAGTTAGGGCTCACCTGGGTCGGCTCACCTGCACCGAGGCCTGCGGCCTCTCGCCTCATCCTGTTAACCTGAGCTCAGAAAAGGAAGAAAACTCCCAGCAGCGCCTGGGAGACCGTACCTCAGGGCCTGGGAGCGGGCCGTTTAGGTGGGGGTCCCACCTGAGCAGGACGAGGTCAGCGCTCCGGCCCCGGGGCTCTCCTGGGTCTGGCCAGCCTACAGCGGTGCCGCGGACTCACCCCGCCCTCCCCCCGCAGGGGACCGCGCCTCCACCGTCCCACGGGCCCTTCTCGGGCCACCAGCTGCCATTTGTGGGCTTTACCTACACGTCAGGCAGGTGAGTCTAGGCGCCCGCCAGGAAGCTGGGTCTGCATGACCTGAATTGTCCGCTGTCAGGCTCCTGGCACTCAGTGGCCCCCCCAGAATCTGCATGTGGCAGGAAGTGAAGGCTGAGCCCTTAGGGGTGACCTGTGTCCCCAGGGTCCTGTTGAAGTCATGCCATCCCCTGGCCCTCCAGCACCTGGCCCTCACCTGTCTGGCCTGATCAGCTTTTCTTCCCAGCACAGAGCCCAGGGCTGGGGACAGAGCCAGGCCCGGGGGTGTTGCTTGAATGAGTGAATAATTGGATGGAGGAGCGGGAAGCTTGGGGCGACACTTCTGCCAACTTGCTGGCCCTGCTCTCCCCAGCCCAGGCTCTGAGAGCAGCTCGCAGCGGGCAGCTGCCCCGGGGCAGAAGCTCCACTGTCTGGAGCGAGAGAAGGCAGAGCCGAACGGGAGTTGCCAAGGTAGGGCTGACCGGAAGGGCAGGGGCTGACCGGAAGGGCAGGGGCTGACCGGAAGGGGCCGCAGCTGGGAGCGAGCGCTCAGGCCTGGGTCCCCCCGCAGAGGCCCTGCAGAGCCCCTCAGACCCTCGGGAGCTGGGGCAGCCACGGAGGGAGGCGCAGACTCTGCAGGACGGGCCGTCAGGTAGCCCCCTCGTGAGCCTCCCTGCCCCGCCCGCCTCCCCCCACCCCCAGAGGCTGAGCACCCCCTAGCACACCCGAGTTCCAGTCCTGCCCCTGCTCTGTCACGTGAGCGCAAGGAAGTGTCTTTTTTTTTTTGCACAAAAGAGCTGGGGTGCCGGTGAGAGGTCGGCAGGGTGCTTACAGGACTCACCGGAGACAGAGTGGGGAGCGGACAGGCAGATCCACCGAAATCCGCTGCGGAGGGCAGCGGCGGGGAGACAGGAGGGGTCTGCTGAGCCCTGGGCGTCCCTCCCTGGCCGGGGATCGCACTCTGGCCGCAGTGGTGACGGCGCTGGGCCTTAACCCCAGGCCACCGGGCGGCCCCTCGGGGACGGAGCGTGGTCTGTCTGAGCCTGCACGTAGAAAATGGGCAGGGGGAGGCCGCCTCCCCGGCTGTGAGAGGCTCTCTGCCGGGCAGTGGGCAGTGCCGGGCTGAGGCGGCCAGTCCGTGAGTGCAGGTCTCGGTGACCATTCCCGGCAGGGGCGCTGCGGGCCGGCACCACGCCCTCCTCCCAGCTGGATGGGCCCCCGGCCGGCCAGGCTGACCTGCGGCAGGAGAGAGACCGACTCCACCAGGTGAGGGCCGGACAGAGGCCGCGGGCCCTGGCTCCCTGCGAGCGAGGCCCGCTGACTCGGCCCTGCCGCAGGAGCTGGCTGCCGCCCGGGCAGCACTGCAGGCGCAGGAGCGGGAGCTCGGCGAGGCCCGGGCGCGGCAGGAGGAGCTGCGGCGCGGGCTGCAGGAGGCCCAGGAGAAGGAGGCGGCCACCGCCAGCCGGGCGCGGGCCCTGAGCTCCCAGCTGGAGGAAGCCCGGGGCGCCCGCAGGGAGGTGAGTGACCGCGGAAGGCACGGCGGGTGGGAGCCCCGGGCTCTCCGTGCCCGGTGCAGGGACACCCCAGGCCTTGGCACCCCCACATGCCTGGCAGAGGCTTGAGCAAGGAGAGGGTGGTCAAGGCAGGGCAGGCTGGCACTCACCCCCGCCACGCATGCTGTAGCTGGCACAGCCTGGTGGGCAGAGGTTGGGGTGGGAGGTCGTGTCAGCGCTGACCACCTCTGCACCCCATCCCAGCTGCAAGCCCAGGTGGCCACCCTGAATCGGGAGCTGACGCGGCTCCAGAAACAGCAGGGCGGAAGCCTTCAGAGGGAGTCGGCACCGGGCAAGGTAGGAAGGGCTCCCCGTGCGCAGCCGCTGCCCCCAGCCAGGCGCGGCTGGGGTAGGACAGCCGGCCCCCGGGGCCCTGCCTGACCCGTGTCCGTGTCCCCAAGGCCATCCACGCCAACGGGGTGGGCCCGCCCGAGGGCAGGCCTCCGGAAGTGCAGCCGAGGGAGGAGGTGGCCGCCCTGCCGGGGCAGCAGGAGCAGAACCACGGCCACAGGTGAGCCCGCCCACAGGTGAGCCCGCCCACAGGGGGCGGGGGCGGCCCCCTGGGCTGGGTCGGCGTCATCGCCTCCTCCCTAGGTCTGGCGGGAAGGAGGAGGCTCTGTGCCGGCTGCAGGAGGAGAACCGGAGGCTGAGCCAGGAGCAGGAACGGGTGAGTGGGGCGGGGGGGGGGGCAGGAGCGGGGAGCCCTGGGGGCCAGGCTGGCCCCCCCGGGGTGAGGCGAGTGGGCGCAGGGGGGCCCGGGGCTGACCCTGCCTTCCCGCACACCTCAGCTGGTGGAGGAGCTGGCGCGGGAGCAGCAGAGCAAGCGGCAGCTGGAGGGCGAGCGGCGGGAGGCAGAGAGCAACTGGGAGGCCCAGATCGCCGACATCCTCAGCTGGTGGGTCCCAGGGCCGGGCTGGGCCCGGGGCTGAGGGCCGCGGCCCCTCACCGCGGGCCCCTTCCCATCAGGGTGAACGACGAGAAGGTCTCCAGAGGCTACCTGCAGGCCCTGGCCACCAAGATGGCCGAGGAGCTGGAGTCCCTGCGGAACGTGGGCACCCAGACCCTCCCTGCCCGGCCGCTGGTGAGCCCCGGCGACCCCCGGGAGGGCGCTGCGGCCCGCACCGTGGTGGGCCGCACGGGGGACCTGAGCGCGGCACGCTGGGGGGGACCAGGGTGGGCAGCAGTGTGCTGGGGTGGGGGTGCTTGGAGGGAGCCGGGCCCAGGAGGCATCGCACCGGGGCACTCTGGCCACAGGACCACCAGTGGAAGGCCCGGCGGCTGCAGAAGATGGAGGCCTCGGCCAGGCTGGAGCTGCAGTCGGCCCTGGAGGCCGAGATCCGGGCCAAGCGGGGCCTGCAGGAGCAGCTGACGCAGGTGCAGGAGGCCCGCCTTCAGGCTGAGAGGTGAGGCCCGGCCAGCCGCCCAGGGCGTGCCCGCCAGCGGCCGCGGGCGGCAGGTCACTGGCTCACCTGTCTCCCCAGCCGCGCTCAGGAGACGGAGAAGCAGAACCAGAGCCTGACCCAGGAGCTCGCGGCTCTGAGGGAGGAAATGCAGGCCAGGGGCGCCGGGGGTGAGTGCCGCGCCCGTCTGTCCCCAAGCGGCCCCCCAGCCCCGGGGCTACCCAAGGGGCCCTGTGCCACGCCCGCTGTCTGTCAGCTGGCACCTCCCCGCTCTGCCCCGGGACCCCGCCGCCGCCGCTGACCGTTTCCCCACTTCACTGGGGTGGAAGCCGAGGCCCCCCCACCCCTGGCTCCCCAGGGCTGGGAGGAGGCACCCCGTGCCCATGCCCTCTGTTTGCAGACGCCAAGCCCTCCAGCTCCCTGATCACCCTCCTGCCCTTCCGGAGCGCGGAGGTAAGCATGAGGGGTGGGGACCGGAGCCAGGAGGGAGGCGGGCCTTGACTCTGCCCCATGCGATCCCCAGAAGGACCCCTCCAAGGACCCCGGCGGCTCAGGAGAGGCCCCGAGGCCCGGGATGGAGCCAGAGCTGAGGCCGGAGGGCCGCCGCAGCCTGCGCATCGGGGTGAGGAAGCTGGGAGGCGGCGGGGTGTGGGGTGGCTGCCCCCCGCCTTTGCGGTCTCACTGCTGGCTGGCCCCCCCCAGGCTGTGTTCCCCAGAGCACCTGCTGCTACCACAGCGCTGGCACAGGGGTCTCCTGCCAAGGTCAGCACCGCGGGCGCAGCTGGGTGGGCGCCCTGACCCTTCCTGCCAGGCTCCCGTGGGCCCGCGGGGCCCCTCCACAGGCCTCAGGGCTGAGACCACGCCGGGAGCCGGCGGCAGCGACCGGCTACCAGGGACTCTCAGGGAGCAGTGTCCCCTGCCACCCGGTTCTGCCTGACACCCCAGGGTGGCTTTGGGGGTGGGGCTGTGGCTGGGGGCTCTCAGAGGCCGTGGTCAAGCATGGGTAATGGGCACACCCCTCTCCCCAGCCTGGCTCACACACGCTGCGCCCCCGAAGCTTCCCGTCCCCCACCAAGTGTCTCCGCTGTACCTCGATGATGCTGGGCCTGAGCCGCCAGGGCCTGGGCTGCGACGGTGAGAGCCGGCCCTGCCACGCCGCCCCCCAACCTCCCCGCTGACCACAGCCCCGAGGGGCCAGAGGGGCCTCCTGGTCCACGCCTCCCACTGCTGCTTCTCTTTCTCTTTGCCCCCTGCGTGGGGAGTGGGGGACGGTGGGGTGGCTCGGGGCTGGGAACGGCCAGGCCCTGCCTCCAGGCTGTCCCCGCCCAGCCTCTCACTCTGCCTTCTGCTCTCCCCACAGCCTGCGGCTACTTCTGTCACTCCACTTGTGCCCCGCAAGCCCCGCCCTGCCCTGTCCCCCATGACCTCCTCCGCTCGGCCCTGGGGGTGCACCCCGAGACCGGCACGGGCACAGCCTATGAGGGCTTCTTGTCGGTGAGCTGGGGCTGGGGGCGGCGGCGGCTGGGCGTGGGGTCCGGGCCCCGCCATGCCAGCCGGCCCGCCACGCCTGCCTGCCCCGCAGGTGCCAAGGCCCTCGGGCGTCCGTCGGGGCTGGCAGCGAGTGTTCGCGGCCCTCAGCGACTCACGCCTGCTGCTGTTCGACGCCCCCGACTCTCGGTTCAGCCCGGCCAGCGGGGCCCTCCTGCAGGCGCTGGACCTGAGGTGGGTGCCTGGCAGTGGCAGGGGCAAGGGCCGGGCCGTAGCCCAGGGAAATACGACCTGTGACCTGTTCCGTGGACCTCACAGGGACCCCCAGTTCTCAGCCACCCCGGTCCTGGCCTCCGATGTCATCCACGCCCAATCCAAGGACCTGCCCTGCATCTTCAGGGTGAGCGCCTGGCGGGTGGGCCTCCAGGTGCCCTGTGCCCACCCCCAGGGTGGCCCCTCGCCCCCGGCGCCTCCCCCTCTGGGCCGTGCCCCTGTGCTGGCTCCTCAGCCCCGAGAGCCGGGAAGCTGGCGTCCGGCTGTGTCCTGTGTCCCTCCCCAGGCGCCCACGGTCCTCCCCGCCCGCCTGCCCTCCTCCTGTGCCTCCTCCTCAGGCCGCTCTGGTGTGACCACACCCGCTTCCTTGCTTCCCTGGCACCTCGCCGCTGCCAGCCTCTCTGCCCACTGCTCCTGGTTACCCCACCCACTGCCAGGGCCCCAGCAGACACAGCTCTTCCCGGGGAGCCTGGGCTAGGGGCTCCCCTTTGTGTTCTGGGGATGCCTGGTCCTTGCCCGTCACATCACTGGCCCAGGGCTCCGGCTTTGGGGGGGCAGGGGGCCGCCAGGTCTGGCTCATTGCCCACGGGCGGGCGCAGCCGCTCCTGAGCCCCGGGCACTCAGGCATCCGCGGGTGGCGAGGGGAGGGAGGAAGGACCCGCTCCCGCCTCCCGCAGGTGACAGCCTCCCAGCTCACGGTGCCGCCCACCACGTGCACCGTGCTGCTGCTGGCGGAGAGCAAGGGCGCCCGGGAGCGCTGGCTGCGGGCGCTGAGCGAGCTGCAGCGGCTGCTGCGGGACGC